GATTTTTTTTCTCTTTGCCATTAATTTTCAGTAATTTGATTATGATGTCCTTACGTTGTTTTCTTCATGGCTTGTGTGTGTGTGTGTGTGTGCTTGGGGTTTGTTGAGATTCTTGTATCCATGAATTTACAGTTTTCATCAAGTTTGGAAAATTTGGGGCCATTATTTCTTCAAATATATTTTCTGTCCCCCCTTCTCCTTTTTAGGGACTCCAATTACACATTTTAGGCCACTAGAAGTTGTCCCATACCTCACTGATCCTCTTCATTTTCTTTTTCAATCTGTGTTTCATTTTGGATAGGTTCTATTGCTATAATGTCTTCATATTCACTAACCTTTTCTTATGCAATGTCTAATCTGCTCTTAATCCCATCCAATGTATGTTTTCATTTCTAAAAGTTGGATTTTGGTCTTTTGATATCTTCCATATCTCAACTTTACTGAGGTAAGACCCTTCTGAGTATTCTATCACATACCTCATGAATTATGATATTTTCCTTTCTGGCTGTTGGGAACTGGCACTATTTCCAGCCCTGTGTGAGCACTGAGTGCTATTCCATCTAATCCTTTCAAGTTGTTCTTTCCCAGGCCTGAGGTAGTTTTCTCACACAAATAACTGGTCACTACTCTGCTGAATACTTGAAGGGGATCCCCTGCAGATCTGGGGAATTCCCTCTCTGTGCAGTTTTCTCCTTTCTAGTTCTTTGGCCTGTGAACTCTAGCCAGCTTGGCCTCTCCAGATTCTCAGCTCCATCTTCTCAACTCAGGGATTCCACCGGGCTCTGCCTGAATTTCCCCTCCCAGCACCACAGCCTGGAGACCCCCTCAATGCAGTGAGCTGGGGCAATCACAGGATCATCTCTTTCCCATCCCTCAGGGATGACTGTGCTTTGTTGCCTGATGTCCACTGTTTTAAAAACCGTTGTTTAATATATTTTGTTCATTTTTATTTTTATTTCAGCTGAGAGGATAAATCCAATCTCTACTACTCTATCTTGGCTGGAAATCTGGTATGTTATTAATAATATTTTAGTTCTTAATTTGAGTGGTGGGTTCATAAGTATTCATTTGCTCATTGTGTATCATAACTATATACACATATATATTACACATTGTTTCATTTTTATAAAATATTGCATAAATTTTTTTAAGTTCTGAAAAGAAATAAGGATTTTTTCTCTCCTGGGGTGGAACAAGGGCAAAAGAATGAGGAAGAGTTTGTGGCCAACCTCCTACCTCCCTACCTTCCTAACCCATCTACCCCTTCTATTCACAAACTCCCATCTTGACCAATTCCCTCCTGCCCATGTCACCATGACTCTTAAGGTGTTTCCCTGACACACCAAAGTGGTGGAGGGAAGATAGTGCTAGCTTGGGGAACACAGAAGATCAGGAGCTTTCACACACTATGATCCAACAAATGACTGTGGTCTCCCCCACTTATAGTACTAGATGAGGGCCTTTCAAAATAGTGCTGACTCACACTATCAGACAGCTAAAAGTTGGGGGAGGAGTTCATGTGAAGAGTTTCTCTGTTTCAGAACACAAGAGATGTTTTACATAAATGTTTTGCATAAAACATTTACGTAAATGTTTTACATAAAATGTTTTACATAAATGTTTTAAGCCTTCTCCCCTCCCCCTCTGGCCTTTTCAATTTGGCCAGAATCCCTTGCTGCTGTGACGAAGGAACAAAATCAAAATGCAGTGATTTGCTATCTTGAGAATGAAGGAAAATGTATGCAAAAGCAGACAGACTGAGATTTATAATGGTTTGATTCCTAAAAAGCTTACGAAGGAATCTCAAGTGCACACAGGAAAATTAGACAAAGGGTTTAATGAATATATTCATGATGACCAAAAAAAGTGGGATTAGGGGAAGAGGAAATGGACAAGGTCATTCCAAATTGAAACAAACATAGAAGACAAATTATAACACCACCAGAAATTAACTGAAAAGACTAGATGATATAAATATAAAGTCATAGAGGTGGATTAAATTTTTTTTAAGTTGATGAAATCACTTTGAGGATGCAGGAACCAGGGAAAGATTTGATAGATCAAGCAGTAAGAATAAGAATGAAAAATCAGTTGAATTTCTAATGGAAACTAGAAATTGAACGAATGGGGAACTTTTTATCATAAATGGTAGTTGAAGAAAAACATCAGGTAAAGTTTATCTGAATCTCCTGAAAAACACTTCCAGCATTATCAAGTATATAAAGGTAATATATTTCAGCTATTAAAGAGATGTTACAACATCATACAAAACATGTTCAGCAAAATGGTGCTGTAGACAATTATACACAATTATTTACCTAAAATTTAGTTGATATATTTCAATAGTTCCTAAAATATACAGTTGGTAAGATTCGGTAGGGAAAAAAGGATTACTGACTGCATTTTACTCATAAAGAGTGCAAAAATAAAATAAATTTGGGGTCAATTCTTTATGAGATTTAAATTATCTTACCTTATAAAAAATATATCAAATAATTGTTCACAAATCATTTTTTATTGTAGAGAAGAGAACGATTTTAGTTAAAATAGGCAACTGAGACTTTGCATCTACCTTTCATAAAAACGTATTTGTGAAGTGATTTTGAAAGTATGAAGCCTATGAGTAAGATGGTATTATAAAATATCACCAATATATGGAAATATAAATGTCACATATAGATGTAAATTCTCCTAATGGTTCTTGTGAGCCTCGTGATTTTCATTGGCCAATAAATACTGGAGACTACTCTGCCTTAGTTACAATGTTTGCTCCATTATCTCCTAGTTTTTTTTACTGGATTCAGACCTACATCAGTGGCTATTTACTCAACATCTGGAAACTGCAGATGCTTATTAGAAAAAAAGTATTTCATCCTTCCAGGTCATGGATGTCTTTCATTCCTCTTCCACAACACTACTCATTCCCCCATGTTTTCCTGGTCAAGGAAACACATTTGCTCATTTTTCAAAGAAGCAGCTATTTTACTACAAATCAGGAATTGTGAGGGATGTGGTGGGTACTGTTATGCTCTACTGTTGAGAGTGTAAAGGAGATCAAACTGCCTGATTTTGAATCCTGCTTCTACTTTTTATAACCTTGGACAAAGTACCAAATTCCTCTTTGACTAGTTGCCTCATTTGTAAAATGGGCATAACAATAGTGTCTACCCATAGTTTATTCTGAGGATTAAATGAGAAAATACATATCAAGCATATTTGCCTGGCACATAATAAACACTGTACAAATATATGCATTGATAATGATAACAGACAATCCGACAGCATCTATCCAAAGAAAAAATGTACATTTCCTTTGATTGAGCAATGCTGATTCTAGGAATGTGTTCTACGGAAAAAATAAGTCGAGTATTTAAAGATGGGTACAAGACCGTTCATTGCTGGCCATGACAGTAAAACATTAGAAATAACCTGCATGTCTATAAAGAAAGTTTGGTGAAATAAATTATGGTACATCCATACAATGAAAATTTTGAAGACAAAACAGTGTAATAGTTATGAATATAGACTTTGAATATAAATTTCAATGAGCTGAGGGTTCTCCCGTCTCTCTCAGAACATCCTGAGTTCTTCCTAGATCTTGCTTCCTTGCTTTTCATTTGTATCAGTCAGCTATTGCTCTATAATCATTTCAAAATGTTAGTGGCATACAACAGTAAGCATTTATTTCTCACTTGAAGTTTGCAGGGCAGCTGGAGCAGCTCTACTTCAGGCTACAATGGCTAGGACAGCTCTGCCTCACAATATAGCTGACTAGCCAGAGCATGTTCTTGTCACGACAATCACAGATGCACCAGAGGGTAAGAGGTAATATGTGAAGATTCCTAAGGTCTAGGCTCAGAATTATCATAATGCTGTTCCCATCCACATTTCATTTCATGAAAGTCACATGGAAAAGTTAAAGCCAAGGGTCAGGGAAGTACTCTCAGCCTCTCATGAGGCTGTGAAGATAGTGTAGTTTCAGGGAGGGATGAGAAATTAGGGCCACTAATTCAATCTACAACATCATTTGTCATCATTTTTAATTCTCTATCAGTGTGAGATTGCTACCTAAGTCCCTTTGGCACTCATTGAACTCATCCTAGTTTCTGTTTAGTTTTCTTTCTCTCTTAACAGAACACCTAAAAATCTCTTTCTATCCTTACATTCTGCCTCAGGAACCAACTCAGGCATAGTGCTTCCCACCTCTACTCTGCAACTCCCTTCTTAGGGATATTTCCTCTCATATATATATATATATATAT